CCCATAATGAACCAAGCTCCATGCTGACTCGTATGAACCCTCTCCAAATCAGTCCACAGTCTTCTTCTATCCTCCAGCTGGTTAAATGCATAAATTGCTGTCATCCAAGTTTTAAAAACTCCATTCAAATCATAGATACCACAGTGGATCATATGTGCAGAGCATTTGACCAATCGAACCTCAACCTTATTGTCATCCCAATAGATCCAAATTCTTCCATTAGGATGATGCTGATAATTATCCAGGAATCTACCTCTAAGTTTCAGCTGCTCTCTGACTTTATTAGCTTTAGCAGATTTCACACGAGTTTCAATTAGAATGGCTATCTCAGGGTGAAGATTAAGGAGATGGGAGCTAATCTCCCTTAGCTTCCCCATTTTATTTAACCCCCTCAAATTCCAGGATATAATCATTGCCCAGTATTTTGAAGCTCTAGGAGATCGTTCAAAATCCCTAGGGCATCAAAACTATTATCACAAGCCAAGTTACCTGCTGATGCTGCAGACCCATGATGCTTCCCTTTGACAGTCACACTTCTAGGGGCCTCCTTCCAAACATCCTCAGACGATTCCTGCAAACCTGTGATTCTTCCATCTGGATCCTTCTTCCCTGAAGCTTGACTCGTAGTCCCACTCTGAGAACCTACTGAACCCAATCCCACTAGAGTTGAAGGGAGTGCTAAGGCTTGCATTTCATCTGGAGGCTTTGGTATCCAATGCTGCTTAGAAGGAGTTTTAGCACAGTTATGCCCAAGTTTTTGACACTTACAGCAGAACTGTGGCTTCCACTGATACACAATGGGTTGCTGAAACTTGAGGCCTCCTTCATCCACAATAGAGATAGACTGAGGCAAATCCTTTGTAACGTCCATTTCCACTAAGATTCTAGCATACGAAACTCGTAATCTATTGGCGGTACATTCATCTGTGACAATCGGATTGCCCAGAGAACTACCAATTTTGCAGAGGCTTGTATCCCCCCATAAGGTGAGAGGCAATTGGGGCAATTTAATCCAGAGTGGGAGCGTGCGCAAAAGATCATCCTTCAACTTAAACTCAGGTCTCCATTCCCGAATTAGCAAGGGAACATTCTTGAACATATAGGGGCCTCGCATAAGGACCTCATCTCTATCCGCAAATGATTTGAAACGAAGAATGAAAAATCCATCATCATTCTAATACATATCAGGGAGTTGAACAAAACTCCAGTACCGAGACATAAAGTTCTTAACCCCATTCATGCTAAAATCCAGCCTTAGGGAGTATAGAACAAGAGACGGCTCCCAAAACTTCACTTCCGAAATGACATCCTCCTCCCTGATAACAGCTTCAATTGTGCCATTAGCAATCGTTGGCGCGATGAATTTCATAGCTCTCCCTCTTGCAGGGTTTCTGTTGTCGTTCAGAACATCCACCCATAACTTGTGCCCTTCAGTTTGTGAGGTATCAACATGGATGGGTTTCACCTGCACAGCTTCCTCTTGAGGCTCAACCAGCTGGACGGTAATGGGATCAACTTGTTGACTTGAATCGCTATCGTTAACAGATGGATTCAATGGATCCGGAGAGACTGGCGGCGGTGGCACCATCTTCCTCGGACGCCCCGACTTCCCTCTCCCTTTCCCCATTTCAATTATTATTCAATTCATAGACATATTAAACTAAGTAAAAAAATATATTTATCATTTTTCTTCTCTTCTTATTGTTATTTAATATTATGATTCATAAATATCAATATTTTATATATCAATAAAAAATATTAAAGTAAAAATTATATTATTCTGACGGCTACGTAAACATATCAAACAAAGAAGAGTAAAACAATTTTATATATCAATAAATATATTAGAGTAAAAATAATATTATTTTGTCTGATGTATAAATCTATTAAGTAAATTAAATCGAGAAAAAAACGCTTTAACAATCAAACACAATAAAAAATAAAAAATTGTCTTATACTATTTTGTATTGCCTGATATTGTTTTATCTAATACTTCTTATTTTGCAAATTAAATAAACCTTAAAATACTTACATTAAATCTCAATAATTAAAATGATTGATCAAATAGTCATATTAAATAAAAAAATATATGACTCATTTTTTCTTTAAAAATGAGTCATATATATAACCGTTTGATCGGATGTTATAGCTTTTAAAATTAATAATAATTATATTATTTAATGATAAACATTATTCAAAATAGAGAACATTTAAAATTAATGTCTAAATTAAATTAAATATTTAGGGAATGGCATCAAAATGATTTTAATAATTTTTAAAAATTATATTTAAATCATTTCTTGAAATAATTATAGTGTACAAAATTTATTTTAATTATAAAGTTGTTAATAAAAAATAAAATGACTAATAATAAAGAGTTTAATAATAATACCTTGTCGGTGTAAAGTAGTATTACACATATATTCAATTATAACATTTAAAATATCAAATCATATAAATATTTTAAAATTTACGGTCTAATTTAACGAGATACATTATTGTTATTGGTTGACAGTGTAAAAATAATTTATATTATCAATGCATTATTTATTTTCTCTAATTTTAAAAACAATTAATTTAATTAAAGCATATAATAATTTTAATTAATAATTTTAAAAATGTTTTGTACAGTAAAAATTCATATGTTAATATATTTGTGCTACACATAAATAAAATAATTATTAATATCATCTTTAATTCCATTCATAATAAAAATATAATATTTTATTATTATCACTATTATTGCTATTATTATAATTATAGTCAATCAAATTTATTTATTTTTATTTGTAAACAAAAATAGTAGAATATCACCATTTGTTAAAAAAGTAGTATATATATATATATATATATATATATATATATATATATATATATATATATATATATATATATATATATATATATATATATATATATATATATATATATATATATATATATATATATATATATATATATATATATATATATATATATATATATATATATATATATATATATATATATATATATATATATATATATATATATATATATATATATATATATATATATATATAAAGGTTCGTTTGATTTACTCAAAATTACTCAAAAAGAGATATTGGACAAGACAATTTTTTTTGTATTTTGTTTGATGCTGAAATTAATTATGGTACTAGATAAAACATATGACAAGAGATTGGACAAAATCATGAATTTTTATCCCCCACTAAACTATGAAATAATTTTTTATCCCAAAAACAAATTATAAAAAAAATATCAAAATACTATTTTTTTACTCTCTCTTTTTTATTATTTAATATTTTAATTCACAAATATAATATTAATATTTTATATATCAATAAAGAATATTATAATAAAATTTATATTATTTTATTCGATTCATCGACATATTAAACTAAGTAAAAAAATAACATATTTATCATTTTTCTTCTCTTCTTATTATTATTTAATATTTTAATTCATAAATATCAATATTTTATATATCAATATAAAATATTAAAATAAAAATTAAATTATTCTGACGGCTGCATAAATATATCAAACAAAGTAGAATAAAATAATTTTATATATCAATAAATATTATTATAGTAAAAATAATGTTATTTTGTCCGATGTATAAACCTATTAAGTAAAATCGAGAAAAAAAATACTTTAACAATCAAACACAATACAAAATAAAAAATTATCTTATACTATTTTATATTGTCTGGTATTGTTTTATCCAATACTTCTTATATTTGTAAATTAAATAAACCTTCAAAAACTTACATTGAATCTAAATGATTAAATTAATTGATCAAATAGTCATATTAAATAAAAAAATATATGACTCATTTTTTCTTTAAAAATAAAATATTTATATGATTGTTCCATCGAATGTTATTAACAATTAAAATTTAGTATAAGTCTTTTAAATTTATATATAATTTCTCAAAATTTAAAACTACTATATTTAATTCAAAATTTCTACTTTCATTAAAGTTTATTCTTAAGCACTAAGTATAATTTGTTTAAAGATGCGCATGTCAAACATTTATTTCTAATGTATTTTATTAACCAATCTAGAAAACTGCCTTCATAAAATAATATTCTTTATTATAAAAAAGTTAGAGGAGTCGGCTTTGAATACTTACCTAAATCAAACCAAATTTGAAGATTAAAAAAACATTTACGAATATAATTATAATTTAACAAAGAAGCCCTCACGTCATATATTTTTTATGAAGTCATATTATATTATATTTCTATACAAAAAGTCAAAATAAATGGATATAGTAGCACAACATGTCATCATAGTTACATAGTCCTTTAATTTTTGGTAGAATCAATATTCTACGTTTTGGTATAAGACACTAGTAAGCTTTTCATTGGTGGAACTGATACTACAAATTACCACATTTTATATTACAATTAATTATTACTCTTATTCAATAATTCCAATATATATAGTAAACAACTCAAAGTTATATAGTTCCAAAGAAACCTAAGGCAGAAAAAACAAAACACCTAGATCCAATGGCTCATAATAAAAAAATGTAAATCCAATGGCATATTCCATGCCATGTGCCATATGAGCCTTCCCCAAATAATCCAAACCAAAACGTTGAAAAAATAAAACGCGTTTTCCGTGATTGAGCACTTTTTCTCTCTTTCTTTTTCTTTCTTCCTTCAACCAAAAATATCATACACCAAAGCCAGAAACCCTTTAAACCCAAAACCATTCAAATTTTTCTTTACTTATTCTGCTTAATCTTCAACAATCACATCATCATGAGATTCGCATCCGATCCAACGGTCAACAACCTACCGACCACGAGCCTTTGAATAGAGATAGTTTTTTTTTTCAGTTTTGATTTCCTTCTTCTCAAATGAGTTTGTCAAAATCTCAGGTGTGGCAACCCTGTAAGAAGAAGAGGCTGTAATATATAATCTAGAGAGAGAAAGTGAAATAGTTTGAAAGTTTGTTATAGAGAGAGAAAATAAGAGAGAGAAAGATGACGTCACGTGCGTCGCATGGCGTCAGCGGCGGTGGCGGACGGCCGAGAGCTGGACGGTATGAGCTAGGTAGGACGCTAGGAGAAGGTAATTTTGCCAAGGTGAAGTTTGCGAGGAACGTTGAAACTGGAGAACATGTAGCTATCAAAATTCTTGATAAGGAGAAAATTCTCAAGCATAAAATGATTCGTCAGGTTCGTTTTTTGCTTATATGTTAAACGATTTGATATTGTGAATTATCTTCATTTGTTTTGATTTTATTTTATTTTCTTCATTGTTACGTTTGCAGTTTTTTTGTTTGTTTTTGTTTTCAAAGTTCAATGCTATTGAATCACTGATTTATTGATTATAGTTCCAGCTATTTATTGCATGGATAAATAAGTGAAATGAAATAGTAAATAATTGAAGATATTTTTGAAATGAAACAGAAGAGGAATTGTTATTAGTTTATTTTTTGTGTTCTGTTATGGAATTAAAGTTTGATTATTAATTTTTACTTTGATTTGATGTGAAATATTGATTTATTTATGTGTTGTTGCTTTGACTCTTTGATTTAATCTGTGCTATAAAATATCCTCCGTGACGGCACTATGGTGGATATACATAGCAGTTTTTGGGCTGCAATGGTAAATATCTGCCGATATTCCGAATTTTATCATTATAACTGTGCTGCAAAGCGGCATGTATGGCAGGATTTTGGCTCTCCGCTGGACCGCCATCCGCCATCAACAATACTATACTGATGCAAATTTGAATTAAATGATTAATACTTGGGGTAGGTTTTGGGAACATTTTGAGTTTTGTAGAGTTTTTAAATCTGATTTTGAATATGACAGCTGGTCAAAATAGTGTTAAAAACCATACCCGAAACGCCCGTTGGAGATGCTAATGAGTTTGGCATTTGTTTGTTTTCTTCTAGTTTAAGTGTGTAAAGCAAATTTATTTTCTGAGCAAGATAGAGGTTTCAGGTTTTGTTTGTTGGAATATTTTCTATGCAAAACTGACATCCTTAAAGACGCCAACATTGTGCTCCAACTAAGAGATTACTTGCGCAGCAGATAGTTTCCTTCTTTATAAAACAGCAAAACCGTTCCTTTTTTCACATAAATATCCTTGTTACAATGCACAAAATAAACGGTTTACAGTTTCTGAGAGCTAATTCTTCTGCTCACAATGTATATATTTTAGAAAAAGTGTGGTGTGAGTTGGCCTGGAAATCGGAAACATGTCCTTTCTATAAATTCTTGTAAGTGCAATTCTAATGAAATCGAGCTTATAAAATGTGAGTTAATAACTCAAGCTTATCAAATGTGAGTTTTTTTGCCAGCCTTTAGTTAGTAGAATAGGAAACTTTTTTTTGTTTTGAATAAAGGTTAAAATATATAAAAAGAGAGGGCGTGTGTATATGAAGAACAGTTGGAAATAATAGAGAACATGTTTTAGATCTGGAATGGGAATTTAGGAGTGATAGAACCAGGTCTTTTGACTACCTCAGAAGCAGAGAGATTGTTCCATATTTTCATTCTTGACCTATGATTCCACGCAGCGTTATCAAATAAAAGCCATGGCGGATATACACGCCAATTTTTGGGCTCCCCGCAATGGTAAATATCGCCCAATATTGCGGGTTTTTCCGCCATAATTTGCTATAATGGCGCCGTAAAGCGACTGGGATGGCAGGATTTTGGCTTTCCACCATGGACCGCCATCCGTCATCAACAACACTGATTCTGTGTCACGTTTGTACTGTTCAGCACTGTCTTGGCAATAAGAACTATCTATTCATCCTATTTCTGGTACATTTCTATTGGGACATTTGAGTATTTGACTCTAGCGAAGTAATTAATATGAAAAGAAAAAAGTATTTCTTAAATCCAAACTTTCCCGTCTGAATTCGCTTAGAGATTACAAATAAAATTAGGAAAAAAGAATATAAATAGTATTTGAATGAAATTTCTTAACTTTGGCTTTCAAACTGTTATGTGTCTGCAATAGTCAAACAGGTCAACTATTCAAGTTTAATACTGTCTGTTTTATGTGGTAGAGCGAAAAATGTTTAGTAGTCTATATAGTATTGAAATTACATTTTAGTAAAACATAGTTGGTGAAACCCTCAACACGTAGGCATGGTTTGCATGAACTTCTGCTAAATTTTTTGGGTTCATTTTATTTTCTCTGAAGCACAAGTACTCTAGTCTTTCCCTGATATGATATGATATTCTGTTGTTCACTGTTATGCAGATAAAACAAGAAATATCAACAATGAAACTGATTAGACACCCAAATGTTATTCGCATGCATGAGGTTAGAAGGAAGTAAATAATTGTTTCAAAGTATTTTACATTTTCTTGGTTTATTTCTATTCTCATATTTTTACCAAGTTTTTTCTTTCCGTCTTTTCTAACTTCCCTCTGCATTGTAAACTACAAATTCCTTGTGTAGGTGATAGCCAACAAATCAAAGATATTCATTGTAATGGAAATTGTGACTGGTGGGGAGCTGTTCGACAAAATTGTAAGGCGTTTATTTTACCTCTATGTGTGCTTTGAGGGCCAGAATTCTTTATATTAGCATTGTTCTTTTATTGCGTCTTATTGTGTTGCTTTTTCTGTTATTAACTTGAGCCAGGCACGGAGTGGAAGGTTGAAAGAAGATGAAGCAAGAAAATACTTTCAGCAGCTTATATGTGCTGTGGATTACTGTCATAGTAGAGGTGTTTGCCACAGAGACCTAAAGGCGTGTATTACTTTCTTATTCACATTTTTCATGTTGCTTCTATTTTAAAGAGATTAGTTTTTTCATCAATGCATGTAAAATAATTATTTTTTTCCTGAGAGGGAATATACATAGCTAACCATGGATGGCCTGTGTGTGTGAAAGAGATACAAGCATGGAAAAGAGAATAAAAAATTAACCTGTTACTATGTTTTTTCTATTATAAAGCCTGAGAATTTGTTACTGGATGCTAATGGAGTGCTTAAAGTATCGGATTTTGGATTGAGTGCATTGCCTCAACAAGTTCGGGTGAGTAATATTGGCTGGCTTTTAAAATTGATTAAATTAATTATGACTAAACGGTTGTTGATTATCATATTAATTATCATTTATTAATAGGAAGATGGGCTACTTCATACAACATGCGGTACACCAAATTATGTTGCTCCAGAGGTATTTTAGCCCTACCGGCTATTTACCATTTCCTTAACAAGTATTTTTTAATCACTGCTCCCTTGTTATCTAGGTGATTGACAACAAAGGGTATGATGGTGCAAAGGCAGATCTCTGGTCATGTGGTGTTATTCTTTTTGTTTTAATGGCTGGCTATTTGCCCTTTGAAGAAGACAATCTTATGGCTTTATATAAAAAGGTAATTCAAGTTTATGATGTTATTATGGGGGAGCATTAACATATTGAAATTTTTTATCCTTAATCACATGTTTGTTGTGCAGAATAGAACAGAGACATGTTAGTATAAGGAGGTAGATACAAAATAGGATATGACAGTGACATGATATTATTATTTTTTTAATATTAATAAATGAACTAAAATGCAAAAATAATTTAGAGTAATTAAAGCTTTAAAAAAAACCCATCATCACTACTAAATAAATATTTTTTAAATCATGAGTTGATAAGTAGCTCTATTATATACGTGTAAATAACTTTTTGAATAATTTTTTTTTTTGAAATATTTTAATAAAAAATTTAAATTAATATCTACATTTTTGAAAATTTTAATCATAATTTCATTTTTAGATATTCTATTTTCAATAAGTTAGTTATTTAATTTAATATTAATTTCCTATTTTTGTTTTTTTATTTATATGTTATTAAATTTCAGTTTTAACATTTTATTGGGATGAATAACTAATTAATTTTTTAATCCTATCTTGCTGATTTTTAATCCAGCTCATACTCGGGACAAATTTTTTAACTAGAGAGGCAAAATAATATAAATTTCATGATTGACTTATCATATTGGACCAAGATTTGCTACACTAGACACGAGTCTTTATTATCTTTGTAATCTTTGCATATTAGAAATGCACCAAAATTTAAGCCTTTTAGCATGGTGTTAACGTTAGTTAATTATGAAAGGAATTTTTAGGACTATACTAATGCCCATAATCATTATGGCGTCGTTCAACCCAAATAACGGATCTCATTTAGTGGAATAAATTTTGGTTGTTGTTAGCCTTGGAATTATTATTTTTGTTTAGATTTTCTCACAATAATTTGATGATAATTGTGATATTGATACTGTAAGAGTGTGATTTGTATAGGCATGCTTACTGCATCTGTAAGATATGCTACCTCTTAATTTCTACGAAATTACCACACTACTTTAACTTTTTTTACTTTTAATTATGTAATTGGGAGGTTTATTTATTTTTTCATAATAGTGCTGCTTAATGTGTATTTTTTTTCCAATGACTGAGTGACAGATTTTTAAGGCTGACTTCGCCTGTCCTCCATGGTTCTCTTCAAGTGCAAAGAAACTAATCAAGAGAATCCTTGATCCCAATCCCCGCACCGTATGTGTAACTTGTATTATTTTTGCTTAATCTCATTGTACTTTTCTAGTATGTCTGGCCTGTAGTAAATACTCCTCTTTTTCCATCTTTTAATGTGAAATCAATATGTGAAACCAACCTGTTTTTCTTTTCTCTTAATGATTTGAAACAGCGGATTACAATTGCTGATGTAATTGAAAATGAGTGGTTCAAGAAGGGATATGCGCCTCCTGTGTTTGAACAGGCTAATGTTAGTCTTGATGATGTAAATTTTATTTTCAATGGTTCTATGGTAAGTCTTTCGATATTTTGGTTATCTTGATTAAATTATGTTCGTCTTAGCTTTGGATTTTAGCCTTATCTGGATGTTCTTTGTGGTGCACAGGATTCAGATAATAGTGTTGTTGAGAGGCATGAAGAGGGGCCAGTTGCACCTGTGACCATGAATGCATTTGAACTTATTTCTAAATCTCAGGGCCTCAACCTTAGTAGTCTTTTCGAGAAGCAAATGGTAGGTCTATCTAATATAAAAAATGAATTCTAGAGCTTCCTATCCTAGAAATTTGACATGGCAATGTTTGAAAAAGATGAAAACTAAATTTTGCTTTACGAGGACCTTATTAAATTACATCATATGATCAGATTACATGTATAAGATTTCTGTTTTCATTTCACCTCTTTAACTTTATGTATTTCTATTTGTTGATTGTTAGTTGTGGTTAAAGATAGTTGTATATTGTGGTAACCAGGGACTTGTTAAAAGGGAAACAAGATTCACATCCAAATGTTCAGCGAATGAGATAATTTCAAAAATTGAGGCAGCGGCAGGACCTCTGGGGTTTGATGTCAAGAAGAACAACTGCAAGGTAAAAGAACCTATGCTTATTTTTCTCTCTATATTTATTTACCTCTTACTTTTAGCTCCCATCTTTCAATATTTAGTGTATTTAAGGTTTCAATCAGTGGAGGGAAATGGATTTTAGCTCGCATCACTTGTACATTGGCAAAAAACATTATATTACTTGTTTCTTTCCTAGTCAGATTACATATCCGGGCCAATTTGTGATAATAATGATTTTCTGTTAAATTTCTATTTCTGATAGTATATTTTATTCTGCATTTCAGTTAAGGATTCACGGGGAAAAGACTGGACGGAAAGGTCATCTATCTGTAGCCACAGAGGTATATGTTTTGACATCTTTTTCTCATGATCTCACACGTACTTCATGCTAATTTATTTGTATTCAAGAATCATGACTGTTTCTAATGCTTTTATACGTGTTTCTTTTCAGATTTTGGAGGTGGCCCCTTCAATTTACATGGTTGAGATGCGAAAGTTTGAAGGAGATACTCTGGAATTTCACAAGGTAAGTTCAGTTCACAAATCATCATGTGTTTGCATATATAAGGAAATAGTCAACTCTCTTATTTGCTAGAGATAAGGTCTAAATAGACGGTTAAAGCTTATTCGGTCTTCACCTTACAAATTGATTTTGTAGATAGGCCAAAAAATCTTTGATCTTCTAGCCTAAGCATATTCTGACTAAGTTGTCTTTATTTGCAGTTCTACAAAAATATATCAACTGGACTGAAGGATATCGTTTGGAAAGCCGATCCTATTGCTGAAGAAATAGACACCGGTTAGTTCTCTAGTCTAGCAATGCTAATACTTGAATTGACAAAGTAAGAATATTTAGTAGTTTGGTACTGACAAATTTTTTGTTAGTTAATTCAGATTTCTAATGTAATATCTGTTTCAATTTGTGAGTGCAGGTGGCAGTAGTAAATCAAAATAATTGTTATCCAAGTCTTCATCTTTGTACAAAAGTATAATCACATACTTGTGTATTATTATTGGGTAAGAGTGGGAAATAGCTTGAATATTTTCATAGGAGTATTTTATACTGCATATCAAACAAACTTTTAGTTTTTGTTGATGTGGTAAACATTACAAATGCAAAGGGAAAACTGGCTCAATAGAAGTAAGATATTTCTGGCATTTATATGTATGATCAGTCTATTGTGTAAATTAGACTTTGATAATAACTTATTTGTTCAACAGGCTTTGTGAATTATTATTGTTTTAAAGGTTTTGTGAATTATTATTATTATTATTATTATTATTATTATTATTATTTTATTATTATTATTATTATTATTATTATTATTATTATTATTATTATTATTATTATTATTATTATTAAGATTATTATTATTATTCAGATTATTATTATTATTATTATTATTATTATTATTATTATTATTATTATTATTATTATTATTATTATTATTATTATTATTATTATTATTATTATTATTATTATTATTATTATTATTGATCGTTCCTGATAGAATGGATTGTCACAGTTTAAGTCAAGCAGAAGTTGAAAGTGAGGTGAGGGTACTTGCAAGACACTCTGATGTCAAAGTTAAATTCGGAATTATGCAAGCAAGTAAGAGTGAGTAAGAAGTGATCAATACCTGACCCTCTCAAATAAGAGGGTATTTATAGTCCCCAATGTTGAGCCAAGGTCCAGTGGACTGGGCAAGCAGGTTCAAAGTGAAGACTGTCAGGTTCTACGTGAGTAGTGAGGACTAGCACGTGGTCTCTTACTTGGATGAATTCTTTCGCATGACCAGGAGGATATGGATGTGGTCTTTTCGGGATCAAGTGGACTCTGTGATATTTAGAGGCATTGATAGTCAGTCCTATGAGGAGGAAGCTCATGGGGTACTTCTGGCCGTCGCGCAGGATCCTCGCCAGTCATAAGGCCGTCAGGGGAGGATCGGACTTGCTTGAGGAGAAGCCTGTAGGGTATTCTTCAAGGTTCTTTTGATCGGCGATGCTCCTCATCGCATCTCCCTGGGTTTATCCCTGTGTGGGCTATTGCTCGACACACTCGAGGGCAGATTCAGTCAACTGGTCTTCAACAACATTGTTGGGCTGGGTCTTATATGGAGTTGGGCCAAGAGCAGGCTCAGTCCAGAACAAGAGCCCCCCAAGTCGTTGCTCCTGATGAAGGAGTTATGACTTAAGTCCACTTTTGCCTTTACGAAGAGCGCATAATCAATACGGGATCTTTTATTGTGTCGATGGAAATCGTTGTCGGTACGTGTGATTACTCGAGCAGAAGTCGAAATATGCTTGATGGGGAACGTTCCAGTTGTTCCTCGAGTCACGGGGAGAGAAGAGATGGCAAGGTGTTGCCACGTGGTGTGGTCTATGGAATTGTAATGATGACCTAGGGAGTATGGGCCATTATTACCTGAGCGCGTAGATGTCGAGGAGAAGGGCCGTCAGTAGGCTGTCTAATGTGACGCTTCGTATTCCACGCCAGCTCTATATATAGCGCCTTAGGGCCCATTTCCCACATTCTAATTTTTCTATTCACTTTTTCGCACTCTCCACTCTCTCTGTTGTCAATACTGTTTGCTTCTTTTCCCAACCATCAACACCGCAAAGTTCGTCGCAAATTCTTCGATCTACTTTGTTCAAGTAACTGTTTTCCGTAATAATCGTTGTTTAGATTGGCTTTATTGATGATTATTTATAGAATTTCGCAACCGAGGGGGAGGGGGGTTTGCTCGGGGTGTTCATATATTCATGTGTAACGTTCGTGAATAAGCTCGTGATATTCATCTGTTCCCCGCGAGATTCATAAATTCTGCGCGGGGGATTAATATGCTCCCCGGTGAATTCATGAGCTTGTCCGATAAATTCATATGCTCCTCCCAACATCCATGGATTTGCTCACTATATTTATCCTTTGCTTGTGTTATCCCTGAAACATGTGTTTCGTTATTATCATCGCAGCGCGATCTTACCAGATTTGTATAAGTTCTACGTGTGGATCGTGGGTGGTGTGTGATCCTAGCTGATCGAGTCATCGTCGACTTACTCTGGGCGTAGCCATCCACTTTTCACCCGTGCTGCGATGGAGGGGTGGATGTGATTTTGCTGTCGAATTCACTGGTTTCCTCTACTTTGCAGGTGAAATGGCCGATACTCCAAAGTCGTCCGAGCATATAGATGTCGAAGAGATAAGTACTACGGAAGGGATCAATCTGGTCGACACGGTCGACGACCCTGCGTTGTCCCGGGTCGGGCCAAAGCCTTGAGGGATAACTTTAGTTTATATTTATAGCAGAAAGGAAGCCTATACTGTTGTCGAGCATGGCGGCGACATGGAAGGATTTCGTCGTAACTTCACGATCTATATGATATTTTTTTCATTTTAAAATTTATATGATATTTGAGGCCAACTAATATTTAATGAAAGTTATGGATAAATCATTAAGTTGTTAAACCATGAATTAGATTTAGAGAATCAAGTAGGAGTTTTAGTAAGTATTAGGGACATTTTGGTCATTACACAGAAATATGCATACATTCAATTGAAAATCCGAAAGACATTTTGGTTATTACACAGAAATATGCATACATTCAATTAAAAATCCGAAGGAAGGGTTATGTTGAGTTGCACGGTCAAGAGAGAATGACCAAATTCCCACTCTTAAGTTGAACCTAACACATCTCCTTCAAATTCATTAAAATCTTGAAGCAAGGTAAGCAATCTCACATTTCAATCATCTCTAATTCATCTGGATGACCTTTAACCATCCTCATTGGTTGCATACAAGATCTAGCCCTCGTTAATGAGAGAAAAATTAATTATGTATTTCTTTGGCTTAAATATATTTTTAGTCCCTATAACATTTTTGTTCAAAGAAAAGTCCTCATAATCTTTTTTTGTCCCTATTTTCATCTTTGTCGTCTATTTCACTTAACGAAAGCATACATGAACGATGACTTGGCAATTTTTTTAAACTTTGAAAATAAGTAATGCTAAATAATGAAGTGCCACGTAGTTAGTATCAATTGGGCAACTTAAAATACAAAGACGATTCACTTAGAATACAATTAGGTTTTCATTTAGAATACTAAGAGGATTTTTGTTCTGATAGAAAACCGTAATTGATTCCATCGTTCTCTTGTTTAAGTGTTAGGTATGTGTAGAAGGTTGCTGCAATACTCTTTTCTTTTTCAAACAACTGCTTGCAGTTGGTTCAACTTATCCATTGTAACACTAACCACTTATTTTCATTTTGGTTGCAACTATTTGTTTCCAAGTTTATTGCGTGGTCCTAGACTTGTTTTGAAAGGTACATGCTTGTGGTCCCTCGATATTGAATCTGAGGTAGGTACACATGTTTAACTTTAGATTCTATTTTATTGAATGTTGGTCTAGGGTTTGTATTTTACTGCAATGTATCTACTAATATAATATTTTCTATATACTAAGTCAAATATATGGATCCATTGTTGATTGTATTTGTCCATTGTGTAAGCATGGGTGTCTTGAATGTAGTATTTTACACAAAGGGTTATTTTGTAAATGACTATATGTTAAAGTATGAGGGTGGGGAAGTTTACGCACTTTGGTCTTTTTGTAGGCGTGTGACTTAATTAAGGGAACTGATCCTGGGTTTGAATATAATGATATTAGAATTTGGTGGAAATATGGTGATGGTAGTTTAGAAGTCGGTCTAAAATCATTTATGGATGATGGTGATGCATTTGAATTATATGATTTTGTTGAAAACTGTAAATGCAAGGTTGAAATATATACTAAGCCCAAACCAACTACAGGGGATGCAACATTTATGGAGAATGCAAGAAAGAGGAACAAGGGGATACAAGGTGAAGATCATGTTGTTCCATGTACTGATGAGGGTTCTAGTGATGAGTCTGTCAAGGATATCAAATTTGAAGATAGTGAATAAGAAATGATGAATGGATTTGATGGGATTTTAATGAGGCTTTTGATGTTCAACCCACAAATGTACTTGCTGCAGACGGTGCAGGCTCTAGTGAGGCAGTGAAACATAGTTTTATTACACCAGAGATGGGTAAGTAACGTGTAATTGAATATGAGTATATGACTGATGAGCTTAATAGTGGTGCTGAAGATGATAATGATGATGATGATAAGCCAAATGTTGTTAGGTTCAATGAGGAAGATGGAATTACAAAAGATTTTAAGTTCAAGGCTCTAGTGAGTCAGACTGACAATGTACAAAAGGTAACATCAAAAAGGGTTAGCCTAATGCTTTTGATTATTATGCTCATATGATTAGTAGTTAGTATATTGTTGTTGATTACTAGTTGTATATTTCTTTTCAGGGGAGACCTAAGGGGTCACTGAAAAAACAACATAACATTGTTAAGAAAAGTAAAGGAGGTCCAAGTCAGGCATCAATTTAAGATGCCTAGCCTGCACCACCTCCAGTCACAATTCATAACAAAGGAGCTCCAAGTCAGGAATCAGTTCAAGATGCTCATTTAGTACCAACTCCAGTCATAGTTTAGAATAAAGGAGCTCCAAGTCAGGCATCAGTACAAACTGACCAGCCGACACCAACTCCATACCTAACTATAACCATTGCAGGCCTCAATGACATAGATATAGATATACTAGAAACAATTCTCAGTGAAATCAACAATGAAGAGAATATTGTTCTTGACATCCCACCTCTTAAAGTTGACTTAAGCTCTATCAAACCAAAGTCTGCTATAAACCAAAGTCGTTCAAAGACATGTGGTGCCAGAACCTTCTTTGGGAGTGCACCAAAAGTCAATCCTTCCAAGGCATTCAAACCTCCAGGAAATGTCAAGGAAACTTGCAGTGATCCTATAAGTTTGATTATACCTGTTAATATGATTTTCTTTTTTTGTCATGTTGTAAGTTTGATTATAGCAGTTAATTCACATTTTAGGCAAAAAGTATGGTTCCAAAGAAGAAATAAGTTAGAAATGATGTGGTTCATACCAGAAAGAGTGAAAGAATCATGACTATCAAAACAAAAGAGATCAAGGGCCTGGAAAACATCCAGAAGATCTAGTTGTACTCACTGAAGAGGATACCTCAAAACAACCAATCAAAAGGGGTATGAAAAGTTGGGATGAAATTCAAAAAGGCTTGACTCAATGAGGATATATTTTGAAGTGCTGAAGTTTAAGTTGTATCTTAGTTGTGCTATGTACTTAGGAATTTGTATTTTGATAATGCTATAAACATTAAATCACCATGTATTTTGGTTATGCTACAACCTATGAGTATTGATTTGTATTTTGGTTAGGATACAATCTAAACCCATGTATTTTGATTAATGAATCATTTTGGTTAGGTTATTTTAATTAATCATTTTGTTGTCAAGTTGTTTGTCATATTGTATGGTGCAACCTTTGTATTGTTTGTCAAATTGTTATTTGTCAAATTTTAGGCAAACTATGTCAAAATTTTAGGAATGAGTATGCCAAAATTTAGGCAAACTATGTCAAAATTTTAGGCATGAGTATGTCAAACTTTAGACAAAACTATGTCAACATTTTAGGAAAAAGTATTTGCAAACTCTGTCAAAAGAATGTCAAAATTTTAGCACAACATAGGCAAAATTATGTCAACATTTAAGCAAAACTCTTTCAATTTAAGCAACAGTCTATCAAAATTATACAATCATTAAGTAAAATTCAACACAATTTCATTAAAAACACATTGATTACATTGCTCAAACATCCTTGCTTCAATAATTGTATTTCACTGTTAGGTACATATTAGTCATGAGAGAAACTCTAAAACAGAAAAACTTGATTTTTCCATCCCATGCCTTTGATCTCAATTTTGCTTGCAGCTTCATATTCTTCTTCTTTGAACCTTCATACAACTCTGTGATACGGTGGCCAGAACCGGGACGTGGTTTCCCTTATTTCGTTAAGGAAATTTTGTTGGTTTGCGTTTTGCGTTTGTTTTTGCAAAATGTCGCGGTAAGCAAGAGTCGCCACCGTCTTTTATTTTATCCAACAAGGAAAGGAAAAAAGCACAGAAAAATTCCTTTTTCGAGATATTTTTGAGTACGGGGGGTAGATTATAGAAAGGGAAGGTATTAGCATCCTTTCTATCCGTAGTTATCTACGAGCTCTTAGGTACTTGCTCATCATTTTCAAAATTGTTTTCTTTGTGTTTGTGGACTTTGAAAAGTTTTTATTTTAACTTCAATTTAACTCTTGCTTCTGTCTTCAAGAGTGTAATGAAGTGTTTTTGAAAACTTGTTTGTAAAAGAGTGTAAGTGTGAAAAAGTTTTGGATTGAGCAAGTACTTAAGAACTGATCTACCTACTCGAAAAAAGAATCGTTCTATGCTTGTTTGCTTTAGACAATGCTATCCTACTATTAGTGAGTAGGTAGCACCGTCGTTGGAGTTTTGAGGGTCAATTCGAAAAGGACGTACTGTCACTAAAACAATGTTAGGACGTCTTAGTAATAACCCTAATGTCTTAGATCATTTATCTGAGGTAACAATATCCGAGGCAACCTTTCCGAGGCAACTATGATCTTTTAGACAAGAGGACGACCTCTAAAACAACCTATACTCAATGACCGTTTACCGAAGGCAACCAAGTGGGAGTGTACCCTAGGAGTGCGCATGTGCGAATGATTCAGTTTCCATTTATTTTATCTTTGCACATTTAGGGTGATCTAACTGTTTTAAATTTAGTCATTCATTCTTGTCATGCAAACCCTATTATCAAATATCTAATAGTTAAATATTTGCATAAATTAAAGTGCAGAATTTAAACTACGTTATTACAAGGCTTCGGGTATTTACATAGCCAAAAACAAACCCTTTGAAATTAAAAGCGATAAAAATAAATAAATGTCCTAATTAAATTATTACAAACCGGGAGCAGATACAATAATTGGGCAAAATAATAATAAAGCGCGCGAGAAAATTAGATCGAATGCGAAACTAGGGTTTTGACCCTTCTATCCTAATTAAAAAAGAAAAATGTTTTTGTTATTTTTAATAAAAATAAATAAGTTTTCTAAATTAAAAAAAGCAATTAATTAGTTAATTAAATTAATTAATGAAAAATGACATATTTTTGGATTTTTGCTTATTTTAGGAAAGAAATAAAGTAATTAAGTTAGTATAAAGACCTATTGATTCTAATTAATTTTAATTATTTACAAAATAAATTAAAGTTATCTAAAAAATTAATAACCTAATTAAATTAATTGATTTATTTATGAAAAATAAAATTCTAATTTTAATTGGACATAAAAATATTTTTGGTGATTTTTTTGATAAAAAATAAAATTAATTATTGGTTAGTAATTAAATAAATAGAATTAAATGAAATAAATAGAAATATAAAAGATGAGAGATGGGCCTGATTTAAGGGTGTCAATAGCAAGAATCTGGGCCCATTTGTGGAGGTCCACGCTGACTTTTGGGATTCTATATGGCACATTTGACTTGGCTAATGGTGCACCTTCAATGATGGCCATCAGATTTGGCCATCTGGTGCGTTGATGATGAAGGCCTATGGTGGTCTCTTGGCATGCGCGTGCACTGGATCTCCTGAAAGAAAATAAGAAAATGACAAATGCTGGAGGCAGGGATCGAACCCCTGACCTCCAGCCTCTGAACCCTTATGCGCTTACGTGGCCACCACTGGGCTATTCTGATTTTATTGTACATATGCGAAGAAACAAAGATAATATATAAAAAAAAGAGTTAGTGGATGATGTAACAAAAAAAACGCGCCAGATTTGAATAGGCCTATGGGGGAGTGACACGGAGTCGTCCCCTTCCTCTCTCCGTGGGTAAAAGTAGAACACTTTTACCTACAGACGTTTTGTCCGTCGCTATAGGCCATGCTCTTTCCAAAATCTTCTATGGGCAACATAAATGACATCTAATGCCATGGTTGTGTTTGTCTCCTCATCCTGAACACAATGGTATCCCTTACGAAGGCCAATTGTTCCTGAAAACAAAAACCCTAAAACCAAGCTTGAAAACCTAGCAATGGTGATTTACAGTATAGGCCATATAAATGAAATCAAATAATGCAGAGAGTTTGCAAATGTCTCATAGATCAACAATATGCCATTAATTCATGTTAACAATGCTTAAATTACAAGATACGAATTCAGGAACAGGGGTATGCCGTGAACGACTTACAGAGCGATTGGAGACTGGAACGGCTTAGTTCTTGATTGCCTTAGATTGCTGAGAGTGCCAGGAACCGATTGGGATAGGTAACGAGCCTTGAGGATGCCTCTAAGTGGGATTTCGATCTACACTTTTTCCTTGATTTCTCAGATTTGGTTCTTGCTTACACGTCTGTTTCTAACCTCCTTTTAGGTCTGCACGCAGTCTATATGTATGAGTGAATGCATTAGGGTTGATAATTGTATTCAAATCTTCCTCCTTCAATGCTTTTGATATTTGATTTGATTCACTTTGAAAACCTTCCAAATTTGGCTTATTTCCAATCTTTTTGTGCACACAAGCCTTGATACGAATTTGAATGATGCTAGCTGTGTAATTGGAACCCGAGACAAGCACAAAATCTCTTGTTATCATTGTTTTGGATTTTATTTGATTTATTTTGATTTAAATTGAATTAATTCAAATAAAAATCAAAATAAATAATAAAAATAAGATATGGACAAGTGGCAAAGGCTAGAGCACGTGGGCTATGTTGGCAACTCAAAACAAGTGAAAACGATTGGGCCCATTTGGCAAGATTTGAAGTTTAAGGGATAGCTGACTTTTGGCAATATTGCAAAAAAGGTCAACTTCACCAATGCATAACTTCCTCCATTTTGAACCTTTGGAGGTGTTCTTGGATTTTTTAGAAATCTTGAGATGTACTCTAATAAACCCTTTTGGTCTCATCTCATTTTGATATTCCATGCTCATGTATGAAGCTTTGACAAAAAAGGTGTTTTTGTTGACTTTTCAAAATGACCTATAATGCCCAAACTAATAACTTCTTGGGAGTGCATATTTTGAACTTGGGAGCTGAAGATGGATTGTAGGGAATTGCATCCTCTTAAAAATGAGCTTTGGATGGGTCATTTCTCATAAAGTATGAGAAAGTTATGCTTGGTCAAAGTTGTGTTGACTTTTCCTACAAAACCCTAATTTAGCAACTTTTGAGTCTTGATGAATTATGAGCAATCCTTGATGAATCATGATCAACCCTTTATAAAATGATGAAATATACTTAAAAATGAGGATGTTGACCAAAAATCTTGAAATTTGACTGTATGTAGGTCACAATTGACTTTTGCCCTAACACCGTCGATTTTTGAACCTTTGAGCAATTGACTGAGCAAACTTCCTCTACAAGGCTTGAAACTTGACATGGATGATCTTGAGAACATATTAGGATAATTTTGAGCATTTGGGACCACTTGTACTCAAGTATCTTGATGCAACATAAAACCTTAATTTGGGGTAGACTGCCTTAGGAGAGAGCTTGTCTGGCCAACCCTTGGACTACCTTGAGCAATTTGGAGATCTTTCTTGAAATGTTTTGAGGAATATGAGAGGGAAAATTTTGGGGTAAAACAGCTTCCCCTGTTCAATCTTCTTAAACCTGAGGATATAGATTGGCTTTCGTGCCTTTCGTTATCCGAAGGTGGAAGAGGATTGAACACTAGAGTGCCCAGAAATTTGCACTCGCATGAAGTGGTAATTGTCTTGTGATGTCGGGAATGGGCTTAAAGATGCCATTTAGAAATCGCTAACGAGGGGATGGGCTTATAGATGCCACCCGAAGGAGTGTCAATCGTATAAGAGATTCCTCGGTGAGAGCTTGTATACCTGTTGTTGAGGAAGATACCGCTGGGGAATACTGGGCTCTGTTGAGAGCAATAGAATTTTAGGAGCTTCGTCGTCCGTTATTTTGCGGAGGAAACATCTCTGCTGAGATTTAGGAACTCGTCCGTAATTCAACTGAGGAAATATTTTTGTCTAGCTTTAGAAACTCATCCGTAAT